TAGTGAAGAAATTAAAAAAATATTTACTTTCTATATAGTGCTTGAGCAATAATAGCCATTGTTTTTAAGATGTAGCATTTGATGTTATTGATCTGTTGTATATTTTCAAAGACACCTACCTATTTTTTAAAGATTGTTTCTTACTGATCCAAAAAGAAAACCACAAATAGAGAATACTTTTTCCATTATCAGAAGGCTACCATCAATAACAAGAAAATGTAAATTGCTTACTAAAGCACCTTTATTTAAAAGAGTAACAGGAATACAACAAGTTTTTGACATTAGAAATGAATTTAATATTGGTTCTTTTAAGATAATATTTGAAAATTTTCTGCCAATTATAAAAGGATCGGCAATTAAACTTTTTGTAATGATTAATTAAGAATTCCTGTTTTTTCTTTGTAAATGAAAAAACTTGTAAAAACATATTTTCACCTCTGATAAAATTGGCAGACATATAATATGGTAAAAGACTCATTTTTAAATAATTTGTTTAACAGAATAATTACTTTTTATGTCGAATGAGATTTTTCCATTACCAAATAAGGATATATTAAACAGTTTAAAATTTTGCATTATTATTTGTTTGTTTACTTTATATTGTAATGTTTATTTTAATATTAGTTAAACATTTTTCCAATAACATGAGTGACAAAAATTTGTTACTGTTAGTATTAGTGTAGTTTGCTTAAATTTGAATTATTGGGGGGGGGGGTATTTTAATACTAACTGATACATCAAATTGCATAAATTTGTTTATAGAAAAGTATTAACATAGCTTCAAATTTTGCTTTTTTAAATGAATATGAATTTGCGTAACAGATCTTGATTATTAATATTAATATTAGTTATTTTAAAGATTATTTTTATACTATTATTAATTTTTTTTACCAATTAGTGTAATGAAACATTTTGATACAACTCCATATTAATATATATATATTATTATTATTATTATATTATTATATCTCAATTTAGGTAAACAAATTTATTAACTTGGTAATATTTATTTAATATTTTCAAATTTGCACAAAAATGGATTCGCGTAACAGACTCTTTTCAAGGATGGCGGGTAATTATTTTTAAAGATTAATTTTCATACTATCACTATTTTTTTTTTCTATTATTTATATTTTTTATATATATT